CCTGCGGACTACTTCGGCGGTGATGACCGACCTTTCGCTCCTCGTGAGTATTCGACCTCCTTTTTTGTTTATCCCTTTATGTCCTAGTTAATTATCTCTTACCCCTTCTCCTTCTTATGTTTAGGAGGCCACCTCCTCCGATGATCTTGAGGAGCTATACGCCAGCCTCCATGAGGAAGGGGGAAGCTCGGCCTCGGCTCCCTTGGACGAGGACTCCAAGACCGTTATTGAACGGCTCCGGGAGTTCCTTCTCCTTGATGTTCGGCAAATGACCGCCGCTGGGGCGATTACGGAGTTTAGGTCCTGCTTGGATACGGCCATGGCGCTCGGTCTGCTCGACTCGGCTCAACTGGATGAACTGCAAGCCCGTCTGGCCGAAGGCGAGGAGATGATCGGCCGGTGTGCTCGCTCGAGCAGGATCTTGAGGTGATTAAAGAACAAGTTCAACCTGCAATGGCCCGACTGAAAGAAAATGACCTCGTCGTCCAACGAGAGAATGAAGAGCTTGCGCAGGTTGAGGCCCAGATTACCGAGCTCCAGGCTCGCCGAGATCTCATCCTCCAACGCCGAGATGGCGCGGTCGCAGCCGGGAGCGAGCTGAAATCCTCGGCCAAGCGAATCCTCAAAGCAGCGACTGAGACGAAGAAGGCCCTGGCCGAGCGGAAGCTGATTCGAGCGAGATGGCAGGCGGACATCAACGGTGGGGGCATTGCTTGGAGAAGGATCACCAGCCTGATCTGGGGAATGTTCAGCGAAGGGGTCTAGGCGGGCGAAGAGCAGCCATCTCAACTATTTTTCTTTTTCTTTTTTCTTTTTGGGATGTAATAAATATTCACATACATTTTTTAAAATTATCTGCCGACATAGTTTATCTTTTGTTTCAAGACCAGACAAATATATAAGTATTTGTTTATTTCGGCCGCGGCTGGCCGTTCTCTGTTTGTAAGTAATGCCCCTTTTTGTCTAAATACAAGGGCCTTCTTTTCTGAAAAGCTAGATGTATATTGTTGCTTTATTTTGACCGCGCCGTTTGCTTACCTTGCTCGCCTACCCTCATCTTTTCTTCTTTTTGACTTTTTTGTCGTAGGTCCTCGGCGCCATCTTCTTTTGAACTTGCGCTGAGTTGTAGGCGTCGAGTTCCGATTGTTCTGAATTCTCTGAACTCCTGGGCCTCATCTGCGAGTGGCCCTTCTTCTCTTGGCCATGCTGCCCGATACTTTGAAGAAATCGAACCCTCTGCTTTGATATTTTACCAGGGTCATGGGCGTTGGCCAAGACATAAGGGGCTATACCCACGGC